CCACGTGGCAAAGGGCACGGGCGGGCTGGAGCAAAGCACGGTCGTGCCCTCGACCGTGTTTTGCCCAGTGATGCCTTTTAGGCAGATTTCAGCCAAAAGAGGAGGGGATTCGAGTTTTGAGAGCAAAAATAGAGTTTTAGAGAGAGAAAGAGCGAAGAACAAACCCTAGGAGCTATTTGGAGTGGATTTCTCACCATTAAAGCCCAGATTGCGTCCCCAGGAGTGAAGATTGACATCCCAGAGAAGATTTTCCTCATCTTTATGAGTATGACTACTATGATTTCTGTTTTCCTTTCTCTCTCTATGGAGTAGAACCTTTCTCTCACTTGGGTATGAAGAACCCTAGTTCCTTGTGTTAGGGATTTGATTGTAATGACTTGGGATGATTATATTGTTTGGTTTTAATCGAATGATGCATGTTTATTGAATTGATTGAAGTCTGATCAGCTTTTCTTGATTTCTGCTGCAACCTGAGATAGATAGAATCTGATTAGGTTGTTAGAGCCTCTTCATTCGATAGTAGGAGATTGGTTATACGAGAGTTAGCCAGTTTACTGCTTTGTACTGGAATTCAATTCCAGTAGTGGAGTTCTGTGTTCATAGCCTCAGCTTTCTATCCCGGTGAAGACTAGTCGTCTGCCGGGTAGTTAGACTGAGAGGGCTTGGTCAACTTAAGAGATTCCAAGCTACTGTCGGATCTTCCGCAGTCTAATCAACAGTGAATCAACCCAGGGTAATTACAATTGAACCTAACGAAGGATCTAGGGGGACTCATTCCCGAATGACTCTTTCCTGCTTTAGAAAACCGAACCATTTCCTGCTTTCTTACTGCTTTTGCTTTAAAGAACAATCAATCGGATTAGTTGTCTAGATAATAGATAATCACGGAGTAAGCAGTAGATCTAGACCCCGGGTTGATAATAGAACTTGCCTGTTACTGCATTCCCGGACTGCGATTACACTTGGTCGCAGTTTGGTGTTGTGTTTTGGCGTGTCAAGTTTTTGGCGCCGTTGCCGGGGACCCTCTAGGTTATTGGGGAAACGTGAGAATTTGTTACTCTAGCTTTTTCTTTATTGCATTTTTTCTCTTCCACCTGTGTGCCTTCACGGGTTGTTTCTGCTGATTGTGTGCAGGTAGTGCATGACCCGTAGCCAGTCGGGAGATCTACTACCATTAGACTAGGAGCTTGAACGAACCTGCAGGAACTTCAAGCGGGCTCTAAAGGCGCGACTGGCTGCGGAGGAGGCGCTATCACAGCTGCAGTTAGAAGAAGAAGAATAAGAGATGGCTGAACCACAGAACCATGATGTGATCAATCTAGAGGAGCAGACCATGGGATCCTACTGGACCGCTAGAGCTGCAGACATGAGGTCACCCATTCAACATCCTCAAGTCCCAGCCAACAATTTTGAGGTGAGCACCTCAGTAATCACCATGCTGCGCGGTTCAGTGGTGTTCCGTGGTAAGGAGGGGGAGTGCCCCCGATCACATCTCAGGCGATTCCACGAGCTCATCGATGGAATCAAGATCAATGGGGTCCCAGCAGATGCCATCCAGCTGAGGTACTTCCCATTTACTCTGGAGGGGCAGGCCAAGGAGTGGCTAGAAACTCGACCTCCGGGCTCTATCACCACGTTCGCCAACCTGGCGGACAAGTTCCTCACCCGCTACCATCCTCCATCCAAGACGGCTGACATGCAGAAGCAAATTACCCATTTTGCTCAGGATGAGGATGAGACCATCAGGGATGCTTGGGAGAGATACACCAGTCTCTTCCTCAGGTGTCCCAATCATGGTTTCAATGATGCTTTCAAGGTGGGCACCTTCTATCACGCCCTCTTCCCGGAGGACAAGCAGCTGATTGACTCGGTTTGTGGCGGGAACATGCTGACCAAAACACCGCCACAGCTGAATCAACTCTTTGAGGAGATGGCGGAGAACGGGTACGATTGGGGCACTGCCAGGAGATCGAGACGAGCACCAGGACGGGGTGTGCATGCTGTGGGCACCCAGTCATCTGATTTGGTGCAGGTGGTATCGAAGCTGGTTTCAGCTATCGATCATTCTGGTTTGATTGCAGGTACAGGACAGCCGCAGGCGATGCATTGCCAGTGGTGTGAGAGCTCCCATCACACTGTGGAGGACTGCCAGGCGATGAGGGAGTCGTCTACTCCCCAGGAGCAGGTGGACTTCATCAGTAATACCAGGCGCTTCGACCCCTACATCAACACTTATAACGAGGGGTGGCGCCAGCATCCTAACTTTTCTTGGGCTGGGGCAAATCCCAAACCACCAGCTCCCCAGGGACCACCTGGTTCCAGAGGCCTCCGTACCAGCCCAGACAAGGGCAATTTCAGCAGCCACAGCAGCCACAGCAGCCACTCTACCCGCCCAGACAGGGGCTAGTTCCACCTCAGTCATAGGTGAGACCATTTTAGCAGACAGGGACAGCACCTGCAGCCCCAGTACAGAGTGACCCGATGGCGGAATTGAGAGATCTGGTGGGTTCTCTGGCCACCTCCAGTGCAAATAAATTCAATAACATTGAGCAATTCATAGAGAAAGCTTCAGGCAAATTCTTGGAGTTAGAAGCTGGTCAGAGAAATACGCAGGCTGTGCTGCGGGATATACAGACCCAGCTCGGGAGTGTTGCCCAGGCTGTCGCTCAGAGGACTCCAGGTACCTTGCCTGGTCAGACCATCCCTCACCCGTAGGACCCGAATGCCAACTGGTAGTATGTCAAGCGTATGCTCCGGTATGTTGCTGGTACTCGATCCCTCAGTCTACGCATTAGTCGCACTCGGCTGCCCTTGTCTCTTTGTGTGTTCACGGATTCAGATTGGGCTGGTGATTCAAACGATCGTACTTCTCCATTTGGTTTCTTGAGGAGCACAATGTTATGGCATTTCAAAGTATGACAAAATTGAAAAATTGCTCGTTCGGGGTAGCAAACGACATTTTTCGGGATGAAGGCGGGTTACAGATAGAAAGATCTTGCAAAGTTATTCAGAATCAAAAAAATTCACTAGGATCGGATAACTGATAGACCGTTAATTACACATGTTTTTACCCCTGTTCTTACACCGTTTGAGATGTGGTTTCTCGTGTTTTAGGCCGATTTCACGCTAGGTTGTGCTTGTTTGTGATATTTCAAGTCCTAGTACGTGAATGGAGGCTTGGGAGCGAGTTTGGGGTCGATTGGACGAAGATCGGGCGCGAGGCAAGCCGCTGAGGAAGCAACACGGGCACACACAAACCCCACACGGCCGTGCAAGTGACCTATGTGGCCGTGTGGGATTGTGCGAGCCTTCACACGGGCACAAATACATTCCACACGGCCGTGTGAAGGAGCAATGTGGCCGTGTGGAATTCTGCGAGAGCAAACACGGGCAAGGCTGAATTCCCACACGCCCGTGTGACTCTGGCCGTGTGGGAAGCCTGAAATCCAATTAATCGATACGCCGCGTTTTGAGTCACACGGGCAACTGGGTGAGCCACACGGCCGTGTGGCCTGCCCGTGTGAGTCGGGAAATCTTGGTTTTTCACCCAATTTCGAGCCACAAGGGAGAGAATCGGATTTTCAGAGCAAAAACAGAGCCCTAGAGAGAGAAAGTGCGAAGAACACATCCTAGAAGCTATCTTGGAGCTGGGTTTCATCAAATCGAGCTTGGAGATCGTCATAGGAGTGGAAATCATCATCCCTGAGCAGATTTTCCTCATCTTTATGAGTATGACTACTCTGATTACTGTTTTCTTCTCTCTCTCTATGGAGTAGAACTCTTCTCTCACTTGGGTATGAAGAACCCTAGTTCCTGGTGTTAGGGATTTGATTGTAATAACTTGGGATGATTATACTGTTTGGTTTTAATCGAATGATACATGTTTATTGAATTGATTGAAGTCTGATCAGCTTTTCTTGATTTCTGCTTTAACCTATGATAGATAGAATCTGATTAGGTTAAGAGAGCTTCCTTGATTGATAGTGGTGAATTGGTTGTGCGAGAGTCAATCAATTCACTGCTTTGTACTGGAATTCATTCCAGTAGTGGAGTTCTGTGTTCATAGCCTCAGCTTTCTATGTTGGTGAAGACTAGTCGTCTGCCGGGTAGTTGGACTATGAGGGCTTGGTCAGCTTAAGAGATTCCAAGCTAATTTAGGATCTTCCGCAGTTTAATCAACAGTAGATCAACCAAAGGTAATTGCAACTTGGACCTAATTGAGGAACTAGGGGGAATCATACCTAAGTGAGTTCCCAACTTGTAATTAGTAGAGTAGTTTATAAATCAATCCTTAATCTAGTTTGCTAGATAATGAGCTGAAGCTGAGTAATAGTAACTCTAGAGACCCGTGGATTCGATATTTATTACTTGTGCCACTATACTGCAGTCCCTTTCATTGGTTACACTTGGCCATTGTTAGGTGTTGTGTTTTAGCGTGTCAATAACCGAGCGCAAAGTTACGTTAGTTTGAAGTTTCAGCCTTAGGTCAGGCCTTCACCGCGACCGTTACGTTAGTTTGAAGTTTCAACCCGTGGTTGATGACCGCAGTGATGCCCAAACTTGTGTATATTCAGAAATTTTCATAAAACGTGTGTATTTTGGGAATTTAAAACAATGTGTATTTTAAGATTTTTTTTCTCTCAAACTTTGACAGATTTTTTATAGGGAGAATGATAAGCCCAAAATGGATTAAGTAAAACTTAGAAAGTTCCATCGGCCCAAGCTATCTATTCCCATCCACGGTCCACCCATCCTATAGCCCCATTCTATCTCGTTCAGTCATTCGCGGCATTCGTCGCTAGTTCACGCTGTATTTTATTCCCGCCGTTTCCCCTTCACTGTCCCTGTAAGTCGGACGGAATCCACGCTCTCGCCGACCTCTTTCCGGCCGCCATTTTTGCGCAACCAACTCAGAATCTAAACATCACGTTGGCTCGTGATTTTTATCTCCCGGCTAAAACAACCTAAGAAAGTGCTCTAGCGAGAGCAGCCTTTTGATTATGAAAACCATAAACCCGCCCAAAACCCCTTTGATCAGCAGCCATACTCTTTTGTTCCCGGTATGTTTTCCGCTTCGATCTTTTCCTTCCAACCGAAATCCGCTCAAAATTATGGCAGAATCTCTGTCTCTTTAATGTCGCCGAAGAGTGAACACAACCCCCTCGATAAATTATCTCTACTCGATTGCAGCCGCAAAGAGGATGTTCTTGGTGCGATTAAGGGTGGCTTGTCAAATTGCCTCTTTGAGACGAATCTTCATTTGACGGTTCCAGGTCTCAAGTCGAAAACCAGAGGGAAGGTATACATTTATCCTTCTTTTGAAACAAGTATGGAGCTTTCTCTCAAACCAGCTAAGATGTAACATGTGTGAACAATTTTTCAATCGCTGTTTTTCTTGCAGTGAGGGATGTATACGATGGTGGAAAGTACCTTGTTCTGGTAACCACTGATAGGCATAGCGCTTTCGATAGAGTTCTTGCTTCCCTTCCTTTCAAAGGACAAGTATATTGTATTTCAGTCTTCTTTGGTGCTCCCTAATCCGGTTGGGAGGGCTGGTGAGTCACTCTCCAACTGTCTTGCTCCTCAAATTCTGAATGAGACGAGCCTGTGGTGGTTTGATAGAACTATACACATTACACCAAATGCTTTTGTGTTTGTTGTTGATAAGAATGTTATGATTGCCAAAAAATGCTCGCTCTTCTCTGTTGAATTTGTTGGTGAGCATTTGGACCTCATATCGGTGTGTGATATTTAGTTTGGTTGTGTTAGAGGTCAATTATTATGAAAGGGGTTTTGTCATTTTTTTTTGTTATTATGCAGTGAGAGGATATGTGACAGGAAGTACTGATACATCGTTGTGGACGATATATAATAAAGGCGTTCGAAATTATTGTGGCAATGCTCTTCCAGATGGTGAGTATTTACTAATCAGTTGGTTTCTTTATTTGCCTTATATATTTTTTTACCATCCATGAGTACTTGCTGATGCTAACTGTCTGCACAGGCTTGGTGAAAAACCAAAAGCTACAGAAAAACATAATCACTCCAACTACCAAGCCTGAGGATGATGATGTCCACGTAACTACACGAGAGGTTTTCTAAATAATTGCCATCTTCGAATTGCAATCATCGTCGTATAATTCTGTAAGGAGATTGCTTATAGAAAATACGAAGAAAGCAAATAGGGTCGTTATAAGATTGTTTAGTAGCCTCTAGTTCTCTACTGCAATAGTGGTTTGGTTTCGTTATTGTTTCTTGTAAATATTTTGCTAGTTGCCATCATCTTCCCTGAATTGTTGTAATTGGGTAGTTTGATTTCGTTCTATGCAGATAATCAAACTTGGACTGATGACTGAAGCTGAGTATGATGAAGCCAGTACAAAAGCATTGAGCTTATTTCAGCTTGGACAGGTGCTTTTGTTTATTTGCCCTAAGTAGCTTCTTAGAGAAGCAGAATTTGTACATTAGATGTTTTGCTATGAGAGAGCAGAATTGAGTATTCCTTGTTCAATTAGTATCAGTAGAATATATGTTTTCTTTGTATGTCTGTTATCTGGTAGGTTTATTAGACAACATACTGTGTCTCTAGTTTTTCATATTCTAATTCCAAGTGGAGTCCTAGCTTCTGTTTTGTTCATAGACGGCAAGTTTTGTTTGTCACGTCATGCTATGGTCTTTTGCTTTTCATTCCGTAAATCATGATTGCGGAGATTAAGAATGTATAAACTTGTCTGTCACTTACATTCTCTGTTCGGATGCAGCATGTGTCTTTGGAACATGGCTTAATATTGGTGGACACAAAGTATGAATTTGGAAAACGCTCGGATGGTTCCATTCTATTAGTTGATGGAGCCCTTCTAGTGTGCTCTATAGCACCCATGCTATAAAAAAGGTGACCTGTTGAGAAGGTAAACCCACTAAATGACTGGTCCCACATCATTAATGACAATCTTGTAAATAATGAATCAATGTATACAAGAGTAGGTACAAATTAGAGTTGTACCATATCGTATAGGTACAAGTTTCAGCTGTACCATTGAAGAATTTGCTTCACAAAGTGTAGGTACAACTTAAAGTTGTACCATTAGTATAGGTACAATTTTGAGTTGTACCATGAAGGGATTTATTAGAAAGTGTAGGTACAACTTAAAATTGTACCATGTTATAGGTACAAGTTTGGGTTATAGCATAAAAGAATTTTGAGAAAGTGTAGGTACAACTTAAGGTTGTACCATTAGTATAGGTACAATTTTTAGTTGTACCATAAGGGATTTGTTAGAAAGTGTAGGTACAACTTAAAGTTGTACCATTAGTATAGGTACAATTTTGGGTTGTACCATAGAAGGATTTTTAGAAATTGTAGGTACAACATAAAGTTGTACCATGGTATAGGTACAAGTTTGGGTTGTACAATAGAAGGATTTTGAAAAAGTGTAGGTACAACTAAAAGTTGTACCATTAGAATAGGTACAATTTTTAGTTGTACCATAAAGAGATTTATTAGAAAGTGTAGGTACAATTTTGAGTTGTACCATAAAGGGATTTATTAGAAAGTGTAGGTACAACTTAAAATTGTACCATGTTATAGGTACAAGTTTGGGTTGTACCATAGAGGATTTTGAAAAAGTGTAGGTACAACTTAAGGTCGTACCATTAGTATAGGTACAATTTTTAGTTGTACCATAAAGGGATTTGTTAGAAAGTGTAGGTACAACTTAAGGTTGTACAATTAGTATAGGTACAATTTTTAGTTGTACCATAAAGGGATTTGTTAGAAAGTGTAGGTACAACATAAAGTTGTACCATGGTATAGGTACAAGTTTGGGTTGTACCATAGAAGGATTTTGAAAAAGTGTAGGTACAACTAAAAGTTGTACCATTAGTATAGGTACAATTTTTAGTTGTACCATAAAGAGATTTATTAGAAAGTGTAGGTACAACTTAAAGTTGTACCATTAGTATAGGTACAATTTTGAGTTGTACCATAGAGGGATTTGTTAGAAAGTGTAGGTACAACTTAAAGTTGTACCATGGTATAGGTACAAGTTTGGGTTGTACCATAAAAGAATTTTGAGAAAGTGTAGGTACAACTTAAGGTTGTACCATTAGTATAGGTACAATTTTTAGTTGTACCATAAAGGGATTTGTTAGAAAGTGTAGGTACAACTTAAAGTTGTACCATGGTATAGGTACAAGTTTGGGTTGTACCATAGAAGGATTTTGAGAAAGTGTAGGTACAACTAAAAGTTGTACCATTAGTATAGGTACAATTTTGAGTTGTACCATAGAGGGATTTGTTAGAAAGTGTAGGTACAACATTAAGTTGTACCATAGTGTATAGGTACAATTTTGAATTGTACCATAGAAGATTTTTAGGAAAGTGTAGGTACAACTTTAAGTTTAGTGTAAAGGTACAACTCTAGAAAGTGTAGGTACATCTTAATTCCACGACTGTTATTTTGACAAAATGAGCTGTGAGAATGTTTGAGTGGCAGCTGTGTGTTTCAATTGAATGTGAGATTTTGACGGGCGTGACAATGTGAAGTAGTAGCTGTGAAATTTCCTGGGGTAGTGAGAACTGCTCTTTGCATCTCACGGGACATCTCACGGTCGTGATATTTGCCTTAGGAATGAAGCACTGCTTTTTACATCTCACTTGAGTATTTTACGGTCGTGAGATTACCAGTATAAGGTGTCAGATTTCCAGTAGGAGACTTTCACCTGTGGAACTATCCCGTGTACTTATTATAATGTTGTTTCAAACAGAATGGACTTTTTTCCAGAACTCCAAACTTATGAAAAAGATGATTCATAATATTCTCTAAAGCTTGACACGAGCATTGCATAGATCCATTCACAATGTTCTCTAGTAACTGTACATCATATCAGATGAGATACCCTGTTAACAAAAAGTAAAAAGCAGTCAAAGCATTACATTTGTCTTATAAAACAAGCATCCATAACACGATTAAATTTGTCTAATTAATGCTTAAGTTTAGATGCATGTAGCCCACACTGGTGCATCATCATATTCTAATTGGAAAACATACAAGCACAAACGCAAACACACATAGCTAAGTACTAAGGACTTTGGTTGGCTCATCTTCACTGCCCATCTTTCTCATTAGTGTTCTCGTCCTCGTCTTTGTTTTCCTGGATTTGCTCATCTTCATTGTCCTCGCTAGAGTCACTGCCCTCTTCCTCATTGGTCCCTTTGTCCTCTTGATTTCTTTCCTTGTTTTGTTCATCGTCGTTGCCCTCGTCGTCCTCTTCACTGCACTCTTCCTCATTGGTCCCTTTGTCCTCTTGTTTTTTCCCCTTGTTTTGGTCATCGCCATTGCCCTCGTCGTCCTCTTCACTGCCGTCTTCCTCATTGGTCCCTTTGTCCTCTTGATTTTTTTCCTTGTTTTGGTCATCGCCATTGCCCTCGTCGTCCTCTTCACTGCCCTCTTCCTCATTGGTGTCATTGTCCTCTTCTCTGCTTTCCTTGTTTTATTCATCGTCGTTGGCCTCGTCGTCCTCTTCACTGCCCTCTTCCTCATTGGTCCCTTTGTCCTCTTGATTTCTTTCCTTGTTTTGTTCATCGTCGTTGGCCTCGTCGTCCTCTTCACTGCCCTCTTTCTCATTGGTCCCTTTGTCCTCTTGATTTCTTTCCTTGTTTTGTTCATCGTCGTTGGCGTCGTCGTCCTCTTCACTACCGTCTTCCTCATTGGTCCCTTTGTCCTCTTGATTTTTTTCCTTGTTTTGGTCATCGCCATTGCCCTCGTCGTCCTCTTCACTGCCCTCTTCCTCATTGGTGTCATTGTCCTCTTCACTGCTTTCCTTGTTTTGCTCATCGTCATTACCCTCGTCATCCTCTTTACTTCCCTCTTCATTGCTTTCCTCGGTTGGCCTAGGAGATAGTTCCCAAGGTCTTGAGAATTTTTTGTAGTCAATCCTCAAGGACCTCATGATCTGATGGTTGCATTCGATGATGTAGCGTCGAGCTTCCTTCTCACGATCGAGGCGGGAGAGAATGAGTGCATTTTGCTCCAGAATTTGGGCATTCTGCCGACCCAATGCCTCAAAATGGGATATGTAGCTGTCGGTGGATGGTCCGGCTTGAGTCGTAGTTTGGTGATGTTGTGCAGGTTGTTCCGGAGTCTCCTCGACCATTTGCTGAACAACATGCTCCGATGCGTTTGCCTCATCTATTGCAAGAGGTGGAGCAGGATGAGGGAGGCCAACAATGCCTACCACACCATTCTCCTTAACCACCAAACACAGACATGATCAATATCAGAATCATTAGTTACATTTGCTCAATGTTCAAAAGGAACTAGATTAGTAGGCAATCCAAAACTTGCACAAAATCAATCCTAGATTGTTTGAATCCCGACTAGTTCTGTTTTAGCATTCACTGTGAAAAAGAAAGTGTTGGTTGGAACATTTACCTTTGACAACAAATATAGATCCGCAAGGTTTTTTTGGGAGATTGGTTGAGTGGACTGGGCAATGGTGCAATGAGAACCCACCGGATCAATGCCAAAATGCCGAGCTAGCCTTGTGATGTAGGCACCTCCATGGATGGTCTTGATTTGTTTGTTGGAGGTCATCTTCTGTAGGGTTTTCAATATGACTAAACCAAGATGAATTGGGGGATCTTTTACCATAGAGAGGAAAAAGTTCAAATCCCGCTTTGTCACACTCCCCGGGCTCCCCTCCCTAGCTGCCACAGAATGAGCGATAATGTTGTGGATGATACGCCACGGGGGAAGAAGATCATTCCCTTTATAGTGGGCAGGGTCAGACTTTGCCACATGGTTTTGTTTTACCCTTGTCCACATAGCATTGACCGATGGTGCTCTTGGATGATATATTTTCTCTGAAATAAAACCATGTCCATCTGTGGTGAGAAATCCTGGTGGGTATATCTGGAGTGCCTCTGTGAACTCAGTGATGCTCATCTGTCTCGCTTGTCCTCCAAGGCAAAAAGTTATGTTGTCTTCGGGCTTGTCGAGGTTAAACTCGGACATTTTCTTGATGGAGAGAGTGCTGAGGAACTCAATGGTAAGCTCTCGGTAGATGACCTCATTGATGGAGAGAACCTCACACCATGCCGGGAGACGGAGGCATGTGCGAACGGGGTCCGCTGCTCCGAGGCGCTCTAGGAGATCCCAATCAAAGCATCTTTGCTGCCCAAATGAGAGGGGAAGGAAGCGCTCCAAAGCCCTCCTATGTTCGACGGGTAATTGGAGGAAGCCGTGAAGTCTCCCTCCTCCAAGTTGAGCCTCCTCTTGTGGTGGTGGTGGTGGTGGAGATGGTTGGCGTGCCCGTCCTTGGTTGTTTGTGCGTTGTCGTTTGGGGGGAGTGTCTCGTTCTTGGGTTTGGCGGCGACGACGAGAAGGAGCCTTCACTTTAGCAGGTGAGGCTGATGGTTGCCTGGTTTTTTGTTTAGCTTTCCCCATTCCTACAAAAACCAACTAAGCACATTTAGTCTTTAGTGAATGAGAGGGAAAAGAATTATGCATAAGCATATGCAATTCACAAATCAAGGAATCTGGTATGTTTTCCAGTTTTCAACAAAGATACTGGAAGATATAGACTTACAGACTTCTCCCTTGACGTCTCTTTGAGTATTCCATCCTCGTCGATCTCCAAGGTATCCTCTACTATTGTAACTCCCCTTGGAGGTGGGGTGATACCGGACAGAACAAATTTTCCAAACTAGATGCAATCCTTGGTCAGGGGTCTTTCACCCATTGCATCCCTCCCACTCAAAACTTCTCTCTATGTATTTCGATCTCTCTGTATTTCAATCTCTCTCTGTATTTCGATCTCCATCTCTTTGCTTCCTTCCTTGTCCAAGGATAGTATCCAGCTTGGAAAATTTGTTCTCCTTGCTTTC